CAGAGGGGATGGCAGTTAATAGGTAAGAGACAGATAGGTGGGGCGGAGGAAGAGGGGATGGGGAATGTTGACCTGGTGCTAGAATGTAGCTAGTACAATATGGAAAGGTTACCTGGGGCTGTCAGATGACAGGCAGGTTACAATGTGCCATAAATCCAATGCCTATATGTAGTCCATGATTTTTTGTATCCAGTAGATTTATGACATGAAGTTCGTACACTCATCTACAAAAGGTGTTTTATAAATTCCCTTTGAAGATTACAACCAAGTGTACAAGCATTCATTCAACAAGCTCCTTCCAGGAGAAAGGTCTTCTATGTGTCAACATGGAAGATCTCCCTTGCAAGCGTGAACACTTGTACGTTCCCCTCCCAGTTTAGTTTTCTTTGAGATATCCAGTTTAGCTTTTTTAAAGCCAGCTCATTAGGCTGCTGAGTTCAGTATAGACACAGCCTAAATCTGCTTTCATTAGCACATTTGCCTGTACATGGAATGTATGTAGTGAATGAGGCAGAGAACTGCAGGATGATAAAGATTATCTGGGGAATAAATCGTGCTATTTATGCAACAACATTTCTTTGTGATGTTTGACAAATCAGTTAAATAAAACTTCAACCAACTATAAATTATGTTTCTTATACCCTGGATGCTCAACTTAAGGTAACTGAAATCAGATTTGTAAAAGTGCTTAATGCCCAAAAGGGTAACTGACGTAATTTTTAGCTATGTTTTGAACATACAACATACAATAAAAATGCTAAGTCCTCTGGGGGAAAAAAAAACATAGCTGTACACATCTCCAACTGGGTACCTAAAATACCTGGACATTTTTGACAAATTTGTTTTAATCTCCTTGTCCTGATTCTTTGATTGAAGAGTGAGGTAATATTACACCTCATCTATTCAGACTGATATGAAGCAGATTTGTTGCCTGTGGTGTCTGTAAAACACTCAAATACTAAGAAGACAGCAACATAAAAGTACAAAAGGAAATGGATATTTTTTCATCCAAGTAAACAATCTGGATGGCATATATTAAATAATGCTGGATACAACACAGTGGGAACTCAGGTGGCACAGGCACTAAGGAGGCTTGGTTAACAGTCCAGACCTTGCAAGCTCAAAGCCACAGCAGAGCTTTTAGAAGTACT